AAAGTGTTAAAGACAAGTAAACAGTCAGTAATAAGATAGGAACAAACAAATCAATTAGCAATAATAATATTAGCAATAATAATATAACCTAACCACAACTGAACAAAATTTCAGGTACAGAAACTGTAATTAAAAGTTTAAAACACTGCATAGTTTTCTTTTCATAAATAAAATATAAATTAATCAAAGTTATTAAATATATTCAGTCAAGATCAGTGAATGACTTTCTTTTGTTCTTTGATTAACATTAATGACAGGCAGCGCGTTTATTAGGCTGCTGTCTCTTTAACACTGAACGCACGCAAATCTAAAAATACTGTACATGTGTGTTTTCTTTCTGTTCACGTAAGACAAAAACGGCTGTATTTATGATGATATACTGACGTAGTTTTCTGCATATTGGTCGACAAATATGAAAGTAGTCAGTTTCGGCCCGGAAAAACCTTTTCTACAGTGGAAATACACGGAACGGTTCGAGAACGGACACAAACCGGGAACCCATACCGCGTGTGCTCGCGCTTCGTGTGCGCTGCACGCAAACAGGGCGCAAGTTCTTTCCGTTCCTGCACTTAAATCGTTTTTAATCACATTAAAATGAGAACGCAGGAATCGGTAAGCAGAATCGAAATGCACGCGTCTTATCGAATACCCGGTTCTTGGAAATTTGGAACCGGTTTTCGATACCCAAACTTACCCTTGAGTAAACTTGGGTTTAGTGGGTCGAGGTCATAATGGTGGTAGTTTATGTCTCACCCTTTTCCCCGGGGTGTGAACTTATGACTTTGTAGTTAGTAGCCTATTGACTACACCACAGAGTCTTTTAAATTAGCAATATCATAAATAAATACAACTGAACAAAATTTCAGGTACAGAAACTGTAATTAAAAGTTTAAAACACTGCATAGTTTTCTTTTCATAAATAAAATATAAATTAATCAAAGTTATTAAATATATTCAGTCAAGATCAGTGAATGACTTTCTTTTGTTCTTTGATTAACATTAATGACAGGCAGCGCGTTTATTAGGCTGCTGTCTCTTTAACACTGAACGCACGCAAATCTAAAAATACTGTACATGTGTGTTTTCTTTCTGTTCACGTAAGACAAAAACGGCTGTATTTATGATGATATACTGACGTAGTTTTCTGCATATTGGTCGACAAATATGAAAGTAGTCAGTTTCGGCCCGGAAAAACCTTTTCTACAGTGGAAATACACGGAACGGTTCGAGAACGGACACAAACCGGGAACCCATACCGCGTGTGCTCGCGCTTCGTGTGCGCTGCACGCAAACAGGGCGCAAGTTCTTTCCGTTCCTGCACTTAAATCGTTTTTAATCACATTAAAATGCGAACGCAGGAATCGTTAAGCAGAATCGAAATGCATGCATCTTATCGAATACCCGGTTCTTGGAAATTTGGAACCGGTTCTAAAATGGAACCGGTTTTCGATACCCAACCCTACACGCGAGAATCACACAAAATACACTGAAATCAAGTTATGGGTGGTAGTTGCAATTAGTTTTCTCCACATTTGATAGGAAAAATCGCTGTAAATATGTGCAAACTAATCCTGTGCCATCCAATTATGTTTATGATGCCTAACCCTAACATGTAGTTAAGGTGGTCATTATTTAGGAATGAATCCATATAAGCTTAGTCATATTTAAGGGTAGTTGTTTATTCATTCTTGATTAGTTCATGCCATCGCTAATCATTAGCTCATTTTGAAGTAATAATAAAGATAATAGGTACAGGTACCCTTATTATGAAGTGTTACCATCAAATGTTACTGACTTAAGTATGTTTAACTAATAGTTAAAACAAAAAAATCATTAAATAAAGGATATGAACTAAGGGGCGGAGCCTGTGGTCTGGAACACTGTCTAGATGGGTAAATGCAGAACCAACAATCTGCTCTGCCAAGCCTTCTATTGCATAAAAGTCTTGCTGCATGCAGGGACCTGCATTCCCAAGCATGTGGTAACTTTAAAAATAAAAAAAAAATGACATAAAAGAAAAGGGTAAATAGGATCAGGAAAATGAGTTTAGACCATTGTGGAGTTTTTTGTTTCTTCTATTAATCAAACAAAAAAAATTATTAAACTTGATTGTTCCAACCAGTTATCATAGAGTGAGGAGAAGAAGCCTTGCATGCGTTCAGCAATGTTTCTGTATGCTGAAGAGTCGTAGGCATCTAAAAGTGGTTGAGGAATTCCTGTAGGAAACATCAGGAGTTATTTCTTTAAGATAACAAAAGTCTGGGGTTTTAAAGGCAATGTTGATTTAACTGCACTGACACTATCAGATGAGAACAAATTTTGAACTGAATTGAGCAAGATAATGACACTCCTGCCTTCCGCAGAGCTGCTTAAAAGCTGAAATCGAATTTGTTTCATAATTGATGAAATCTGCAACATCACCTTTATTTTCCTGTTTAATTCTGTGAAGCTGCTACGACAATCTATATTGTTTAAAGGACTATAGAAATACATGAGACTCAATTTGACTTTACCAGTCACAGCAAAACCTAAATGATGGTGTTCATAAAAGGACAGGACAAATGAGAAACCTACCTAAAGCAAAATTCTTCTCCACATCCATAATCTCATAGACCCTTGTAAAAGTCTTGCTAAGCCGGTTGATGTTCTCTGGCAAGAACAGGTTATTTTGGGTCCTGAAAGGATGAAGAACGTCAAACTATTCCAAACATCGTTACAATAGTGGAAAAACAGTACACAGAACAGCACAGAATATACCTGTAGACTATCCATGATTTTTTTCACCATATACTATTCCAATATTCAAATGTCTGTTTTTCTAGGAAATTAATTTCTAGGAAATGACCTAATTTACCTGATGAGAGCAAAAAGGTTAGGCAGCAAGGCCTGCAGGGGCTCCGCACAAGGGTTTCTGTAGATAGGGGCCCCATCAGAGATTGTGCTAACCACAAAGCCTCCAGCTTTTGCCTCTTCAGGATTAGCAGGCCAACGAGCACGCTTTACAACCCCAAGTATGGTGTTCACACAAAAACTAATCTGCCATTAAAGACAAAAGCAAAACTGATGAGATTTACAACAAAATCCAACAACTATGCAAACACATTAGACTGCATGCATTCATTTGAGAAGTGGTGACACCTACCCGTGACCTGTTGATACCCATCTGATCCTCTGTGTCAGCATCACTGATCACCTGATCAGCACCAACATATGCCAAGAAGGTAGCAGGGTCCAATAACACACTACACAACACAATTAAAGGAAGGTTCATACATCAGACAGCCTCAGATGCATGTACATAAACTAGATATCAATGACATATCACTATCATGTTAAATATCTGTTTAATAAATTCAGTAAACGCCCGTCTGGGCAACAATATCCATTCATACCTCTTCATCTCCTCTGACAGCCACTGTGCAGTAACAGGTGCCATGAGTTCTTTCAGAAAGGCTTTCTGCTTGTTATAGTCTTTAAACTGATTGCTGATTAATATCAGGGCTTCCATAAGAGCACACTTCTCCATTTGTGTCAGCAGCAGCTCACTGGAGAACAACTTTTTCACATGCTCATACATCATGTCAAAGCACGGCTACAATGCAAGAAAAATAATCTATTATCATTAGCGTCCTAGAAGGGAATGCTAATATAACCGGTTTCTTTAGGGCCATAACTAAAATTTAATATCATGTTTTGCATTGTAAAGAACTGTATTATAGATGCATGCTTCAACATACCAGCATAAAATCTGAATAATCTCGACATATCCTAATGATGGAAGAACAGGCATGTCTTCTGAGATTCTTAACAGCTCGCGTTCGAGGTGCCTGAACACATGCACATAACATCAACAAGACTGTTTGATTAGAGAATGGCATGCAGTTATAAGTATGGGCACCTTACCTTGCATTCTTCAACCAATTCAAATGTGATGGAAGGAAATATCTAAATATAAGTGAAAAAAAGACATTTGATGATGATAGGTTTTTAGCACATCTATCATGCACCAAGTAATGGCATACAGGCTACTAATAAGTAAAAAAAACATTTGCAAATGCGTCAAACAAGTTTCAGGGTTCTTTTTATAAATACAATAGCAGAGCAAGAACAGAAAATTATGGGGAGAGAATCCAGATTTAAACACGTTAGAGCATCATATTGATTGACTGATACTAGAAGACCTAGAAGATTAGAGAAGCAATGTATAGCAGCAACAGTAAAAAAAAAAAAAAAAATCATCAGTCTAAAATTTATTTGACACCCTAAATCAGTGGTTAGACAGTGTTTTAGATGCACTTAGGTGCAGACACATTAGCAAAACTGTACAAAAAATAGCCCATTGTCAATAGTGTAGTGATGTATGAAGCACTTCTCACAAAGAAGTCACTTTCTGATCAAGCTGCTTTCAGTTGGTCAGCGGGGCAAATTGATAAATTACATTTTACAAATTAATAATAAATTGACCTCACACACGAAACTCCCAATTGAGTGGACTCCAATTGGAATGACAAAATTTTGCCTGCAAAGGTTCACTGAGCAACAGTAAATGTGGACATTTATTCAAATTTTCATATGAAAGATTATATACCTCACCTTAAAGAGTACTTGAGGCAGGAAGTGTGGTTGGTGTGTGACGAAGGGAAAGAGAGTGGATATGATGGTAAGAACACAGGACAGAATGAGAGGATCTCTTGTCTCATAGTTTACAACCATCTGCAGCAGCTCCATACCCTCATCTATGGGAATTTTCTACAGCAATGGGAGGAGGAAAAAAAACACATCTCAATGACAAGATACCTTTTTAAATCCCTCACCGCTGTACCATGAGAGAAACTGGTTGTCTTACCTCCTTTTCAAGAATTTTAAAGAGCTGTCCAAGCACACTTTCTGTGAAGAATGTCATGGCATCCCACTGAACCGCTGTCAGAGACAGAGCAGAACAGAGACCCTTCTCTGTTTTAGCTTCAGCAGATAACAATACTAATTAAGCAGTGTTAAAAGGAACATTTCAGGGTTCCCAGAAACACAGTTTACAGCATTATGTTGATTACCATCTGTCGATTATTGTCTGTGGTAGCCAGCATTGGTAAAGCTTAGTTTGTATTGCAATGGTGTTTCAATTGTGAACATATCAATGTTTTAAGTCCATGAATAAAATGAATGAATACAGACATATCATCTACAAACAAAAATTTTGTTTATCTTGTGAATAAGAATCTGTTCAGTTCAACATGGGAGTCAAACTTAAATCTTGTTCCACAAGTAGTCAAAGCATAATTCCCAAATTATAAATGAAACCACACAGTGAAATTGTGTAGGACAAGTGATGGATAACATTCTGCATTATAATGATAAATCTTGTGGCAGTCTTTTTGAAGAGGTAAAATCTGCATAGTTTACTGGTACAAGGAAACTATATTATGCAATATAACTTGTATTTTAGCTATTATTATATTGTAATTATTAACTGTAATTAATAACCTGTTCTACTCTTGAGTGTATGGCAGCCCACAGAACCACTTGCAGAAAAGTTATGAAATTTGGTACACAGATAGAGGACAGTCTTAACATTAACCATAACACTGAGTAGAACGATATCCATTATTCCCCATGTCATGATGGGAGTCGGACATACTTTAAAACACACTGGTGTATTGTTACAAAACTTACGAAACAAAAAGTTATGGATTTCATATCAACGATTTCATTAATTAATTTGATGCCGTGATGCCAAACTGCATCTGAGGGTCTACAAAGCTTTGACATACTGACACCAAACATGTCATTGCCACCTCACACTGACCACATTACATCAATTTGTTAACATTACTGCCTACTGGTCAAAAGCATTAAATCAGTAAATTATATTATACCAGTATATTTATGATTTTTTTCAGCCATTTTGACTAAAATCACATTAAAATGCCTTTAGTAACTAATTTTTGCAGTTGGTCTGATGCTTGCTGCCTTGCTTGCTTCTGTAGTGTTTGGCCTCTTAATTTCTGCTAGCAGCTATATGTAGTTTTATATTAGGATATAGGGATTATCAAAGACTAGTTTTTAAAGTAGACTTATTTCATTTATGTAATTTTTATTTATTTATTTATTTTGAAGTGTCAGTTTTTGCATTATGATTACAGTCAAACCAGAAGACAGTATGGATATAACGATATTATCAATATCGTGATATCGCGATAGCAAATAGTCTCAATATTATCATGGTCACATGACGATATGAAATGATAGGTCTTCCGGGCAAAAAGTGTAGTTTTTAAAATATATTTAATTAGTACTGTCAAACGATTAATCGCGATTAATTGCATCCAAAATAAAAGTTTTTGTTTACATAATATATGTGTGTGTACTGTGTATATTTATTATGTATAAATAAATACACAAACATACAGTATATATATTTTGAAAATATTTACATGTATTTACATGTCTACATATATTTTCAAATAATTTATATTATATATTAATATATTTAATATATGAACATAACATTTTTCTGAAATGTATGCATGCATGTGTGTGTATTTAAATATACATAATAAATATACACAGTACACACATATATTATGTAAACAAAAACTTTAAGTTAAACTAAGTTAAACAAAGTTAAACTTCTTATTCTAACAACAGGTCTTTAAAGTGTTTTGGGCCATTATGCTTTGGCACAGTATCTGTCAAGCAAACTAAAACAAAAAGCACAAAATGGCTTAATCCCTGTTTTCGCAGCGCATTTCAAAGCAAAGCGCACACATTGTTCAGGCGATCAGCTCGTGATCCGCTGTTTTCCACACCTCAGAACGGCTCCGTTCACAGTGAATGAATGCAGTGAACTCCATTACTTATTACATGTGCTGTGAGTTTAGTTTATTCATTTTCATTTATTTTACAGTGCAGTTGTTTTAAGATATATGGCTAATACTGTCATTGTTGTTACTGTTATTATTATAATATTATAATTTGTTTGGCTTCCTAAAACACCAGTGTGAATGTAATTTAGACTGAGACAGTATACCACAAATAAAAAGAGGGTTGAGTCCCCTTTAAAGTTCTGGTACAAGTCAATTCACTGACTTTTTTGACGAAAAATGTTAAAAACATGGGATGGAGCTCTTAATTTTGAAGTGCATTCGATAGAATAATTTAACATTAAAATGTACAAAAAAAATAAATAAATTCCAAGTCTTCGTCTTTTTTTTTTTTTAAATATCACAATAAATATTGTATAGTGGACTTCATATTGCAGTATTACCTTATCGTGAGATTTTGATATCATTATATCCCCTAGAGGACAGAGATTTTTTTTTTTTTGTTACCCATAATCTAATTTAAACATCAAAATTCAATAAAAATATAACAAAAAAACAAAGAGGAATATATTTGAGTTTTTTCGTATTTCCAATTAATTTCCTACGGTGTTTATTTTTGACCATAAACAACATAAGTGTGACTATTTTCTTTATGACTATTTAGCTTTTTCAAATGGAGTCCACAATTTGTTTTTTATTTTCACATAGCAAGTGCTGCAAAAGTCACCAAATTTCATTCCATTCCAATGAAGTTAAAAATCCTAACATTTTTGGGGGGTAAAATGACCGAACACCAGAGGGTTAAATAAAGTTTGGTATCTGGCATTTTTTGAGGTTAAAGAATTATCTGCTGTGTGTCTGTACACGGCCATTTTTTGGTCAAACATTATGTAATCTTTGCATTGAAATAACAATGTTTCCAATACACTGAAGATTATTCATCATGATACCATGGAATGAGATAAAAAAATAAAATAAAAATGAGATAGTACAGCATAGAATGAGATAAATATAGAATGAGATAAATCGCAGCACAAGTCCAAAAATTGCACAAACTTTTGGCAGATGAAAGATTACCTACCATGGGAAAGTCTACTAACAGTACTCACATGTTGTATTTCCAGTATCTATAGGTGTGCAGATCTGATACTGCACCCATTCCCTTGCAATTTGGAAGGCCTCAAATGGGACAATTTTACAAGCCAGACGAACTGCTTCCCCCTGCTGAGCCCTGAAAGCTGTTTATGGGAGAGAAAAAAATTGTTCAGGGGTTAACCAAACCATTGTAAATGCAGTTTTATTTATTATTGTTTTCTTTTTAAAATAATTTGTTCTTTGATCATTTCTGTAATTTGTTCACTGTTTGAATAACTCCATGTTACTAATCAAATCAGCTGGGTTGATTATATGATGTGTAGGGCCCTATTAAATCAGTTTAATTTTTTTCCAAATTTAGTTTTTTCAGCTTTAATTTGTCTGGATTCCATTTTTCCGTGCGGTTTTTTTCAAATGTTCCATTTTCCGTTTTAATTTTTCTTTACTCCTTTTTAATGGTTAAATTAAATTTTATTAATCAAAAAGCTAAATAATTAATTAAAATCATGAAACTTCACATCAATTTATTAAACGTTTAACAAAAATTCAATTTTTATATTTTCCCACCATGTTTTATTGTTACCAAATTCTATGTTTTAGCATGTCTAATTATTTGAATGCATAAAAACAAATTAATTTATTAAAATTCATTCTTAAAATAGCCTTTTGAAATGTTTTTCCCCATCAGAAACTCTGTTGTGTATTTAAATTTTTCTGGTTATCAAATGAAAACATAAAACATTAATTTCATTCATATTTTAATTACTGAAAATAAAAAACTTTATTTTTAAAATTAAAACATGGAAGATGTTTTGTGTGATTATTTAATAAAAAGTATGTTTTAATAATTTTAGTAGTAGTAGTAGTATGTACATTCTACTGTAATATATTTCTGGCACAATGTCTTCAAATTAAACTGAACTTTTATTTTGACAGGTTGCCGTGAATACCTTTACATTTCTGTGTGTATATGATATACGCTAGTTTTACTCAAATGAACGGTGAAATGGTCGTGAAGTGACTCTCAGAGCAGTTCTGGAGATGTTGTTCATGTATTTATGTCCTCATTTAGTGAGACGACAGACACTGAAACCACCGCGAGTCACGTACGCTTCAGTATGTGTGTAGTTAACAAAACGATAGTAATTTTGTGGGTTAATATTCACAGATACTAGTCCATATCACGATTTGATTTAAGTGTAATACCCTACTTTTGATTAATTCATTCAAAGTTTGACAAATTCCATGACATTGCATGTTATACAGTAAATTTCGTTTTTATGACTGGATTCTGTGATTCCGTACGTGTTTTCCGCATCACAGAAATCATAGGGCCCTAGATGTGTGCATTTGATTGCCAAAATTACAACTGAAAAAAATATTTTAAAAAATGAGTAACAAGAAATTGTTGTTGGTAAAAAGATGTTTGTATTTGTCAGTCAACAATGAAAAAAATATAAATATGCAAAAAAAAAAATATATATATTTAAGCACACCGATGTAATAATATTAAATTTAGCTAATTAGTTACTAACTAATTATAACTCACAATTAAAGGAGCAGTTGAAATCTTCATCACTATCAAAGTCCACTCTAGAGAATTCACAACCTGGACAATCATTCTTGGAGGGAAATCCAGTCTGTAAATGGCAAACAGAGCAGTTAAGTATGATATGAAGCATTATTCAAGGCTGCTCTGTCTGGTATACACAACACTTACTTTAACAAGACTGATCCTTGCCGCTCTTAAATATTTTATCGCCATCTGGCCAACTACAGTATCCTTTGATAAAATGTCATGTCGGAATAGGTTTCCCCAGGTCATTTGCGTGGACGACCTCAGAAGCTGTTTTAAATAATATATAAATAATGAATAAATATGGAATGCATAGTAGACCAAATTTAGCAAAAAAATCTTGGTTGACCAGTAAGTTTCACTGAGTAGCTATAATGCCACTCAACCTGGCTAGGATGAGTAGTGAAGGCGAAAAGAGCTTCCATGTATTTATCCAGATTAAGAGGAACTTGTACTTCAAAATCGGAACCCTAAAGAGAAATATAAAAATATTTTATATTTTTCATTAGAGAAAAAAAAGATTGCTACAAAACAGTGATGTGTATGCTTTAACCTCACCACTAGAGAGCAGATTTGGCTACCCAGGGCACAGAGAACCTGACACAGCCTCTTCAAAAAAGTGTATCTTCTTTCCACAATGCCGCCTGATGATCTGAATTGTAAGATGGACAGTTGTAGTTATAACTAACAGAAGTAATATTTTAAACTAAGCTTGGCAGTTTCAAGAGAAAATGTAAACTCACTGGTTACAGAGAGCTGCACCACCTGCTGACCTATATTAAAATACAATTCAAAGAGCAGTGTGCAGTCATACAAATAGAATAGTCATTTAGAGCAGGGTTCCTCAAATTCGGCTCTGGATAGACACAGAGTTTAGTGCCAACCCTAATCAAACACAACTGAAAAAAGCTCATCAAGGCTTCACCCGAAAGCCGTTTTAACTTGTTGCCTTGCTGCCCAATCAGGCAATGACTTGTCAGGCAGCACATGCTCCCAAAACTGATTTTGGACAGGCTTCTAGTAGTTTAATGATATACAACAAAATAGACAGTGGTTTGATGATAACCAAGTTAATATTTAATTATTACTATACTAATTTCTTGCTAGAAATACATCAAAACTGGAAAAAAGTTAATCAAAAACATATTTACACACAACTGAATACCTATCACAAGTTTCAGATGCCACAATTTATTTATTCATTCATTCATTCTCAACTGTCACAGAATGGAATGCACAGGAAAGTGGGACATTACAGGCAGTGAAAGATACATCTATGCTGCCTTCAAAAAATGATCAGATTGAGGTACATCACAGGATGTGACACAATCATTGGATTTGGACATGCTTTGTTGCCTTTCTAATGTCACATGCAGAGTAAGCTTTTTTTCAGATTTTGGACGCAGCCAAGGACTTCAGAGTTACAAAAAAATTTCAAGTGAGTTTGACCTGGGATTGAGTTAAAACCTAGAAGACAGTACCCCTCCGGATTTAGGAACCCTGATTTAGAGCAAGACGTTTACTCACTGTGCAGCAGACAGGATGTAGTTCATGGCAACTTCATCAAAGAGTACCATAAATGGCTTCCTCTCCTCTAACTTTCCCTGTGGAAGTACAGAACAGGTTCAGTCAAAACTTCACACAACAGTGTTGCTCTTTATTGGTTGTCTATTTTGCACCATTGGCAAGTTCTTTCAATAACAGCAGTCAAGCTTTATATGATTTTTACGGCCTATTTAAATGAGCCTATTCATCCTGTTAAAGTCGATTCTGTCACATTTTACTACAAGAACAAATGCGATGATGGATTGATGCTTTTTATTTGCTGATTAACTAAAAATTATAAAGAAAGTCTTAATAAATAATGCAGCCAACAATTGAAAATTAGGTTTTTATTGAGTTTCCCTATACATGACAAACTCCGAGGTTAACACAACCGGCACAATAAAATAATTTTAAAAAGCAGAGAGAAATAAAACACAGCAGGATGAATGAATTGAAAAAACAGACATCATAAATTTCTCACAACTGTCTGTATCTGTGTGATTTCCATTCAGTCTTGCTAACATTTTTTTTTCATATGAGGCACTCTCAATCATTGATTCAAACCACATACTAATTGTAGGAGATTGTGTATCCTCCCAGCATCTAAGTATCTGTCGCGCTGCTGTGACTATACCTACAGTAACCAGCAGGGGCACCTGCAGGATTTCTTCCGAGAGTACGCACAGAGATTTTTTTTTTTGTCCTGATGACCAAATGATCATTGAGAGCAGAACGAATGTGTCACATGTTTTAAACAAAACCAAAAAAAGGTAAAATACATCTATCATGAGCATGCTCATAGATGAAAACAACAGAGAACAAATCAGCATTGATGAAGTAAATTAGAATCCTGCACGGGGCTCAAATATAGGTCCTAGCCCAGCCCTTGTCCTACAGCTTATCAGAATTCTTGGCCCGAGTCCGTCTTTTTTTTCCTCTTCTCCCAAAACAGCCTATACTACTGTTTCAGCTATTAAAATGGTTCAGTTTTGCATATGGAAAAGTGATAATTCATTTAGTTTTTTTATCAAGTCAATTTAGAAAAACTTTGAGCATTTTTTGTTCGTTAAATGTGTTTTTTTGTGTGTGTTTTTTTAAGTAATGACCAGCAGCAGACAGTGAGTTGATCATAGCCTATGTTTGATCAATTTAGCCTTCTAAATTCATCACGACTTCCCTAAAATAAAATCTATAGATATTAAACGTTTCAATATCACAATGCTAGTTTAAACGTTTAACCTAGATAAATGCATTTCACAATAACTTGCATTTTTTTCTTACTGTAGAAACAACTTAAAATATGCAGTTATTTTTGCTCATAAAGGTAAAATTAATACATCACTCGGAACTGTAAAGTGTCTACTTTTACTTGTGTGAACTCACAATATCAACAAAACATTGTGCTTTTGTAAAATAAAGAAAACAAACAGGATGTGCTTTCTGCCGTCTCTGTCTTGAGCAGGAGCGCTTCACAAAAATGACCTGAAACTCTATGGAAATATATCTATTGAAATCTTTAAATTACTACTTTAAAACGAAATCATTCAAATCGAAAACAAAAACTCTTTCAATATGTAATCTGTAAATATGCATATCTCTCTAAAGGCACGTCCAAGAGGAGATGGCGAGTCAAGATCGCCAACTTTCATTAACCAACAAAATTAGAACGTTAAATTAGATTTAAATTAAATTAAAAGTTAGTGCATGCGCAAATTGCAGCACAAATATCAGAACTATAAGGATTCACACATCGTCACATCACGCACCTGCAGCGCTTGTGTAGGGAGAAAAACAGAATAAAACCGCATATATAAAAGGAAGAAAATAAACAGTCCTAAACAAATATATTTCACTTAAATAACGAACATATAAACAAAACCAAATTAAAAAAAACTGCATGACAAGTCTACACAGATTCGGTTTCATTTTTGTGATACAAATTCAAGGAAACCGAGAAGGCTGAAAGCTTACCCTATTTGTTTTCTTTATTTTACAAAAGCGCAATGTTTTGTTTTTATTGTGAAAATTAATTGTTGTAGGCTAACCCGATCTCATAGCGCGATATTCTGTTTCTATTTGGCGTAATATTTATACACAGAAATTGACTTTGGCATGCAGAAAATCGTGCTACTGATAGGCCTACACATTTTCATGAGATCTGGCTACTAAAGGTGAAACAGAGAGAGAGCGGTTCGAACGTAAATTTATAATTAATGGCATGGCTGGTTCAGTCGACAGAAACACGGGACACACATAATAACTGCTGAAATGTTTGCGTGGCAAATCTCAGGTCAGTCTGAGCGCTCATGTTACGCACAGTGCGTACAGCCATACACCTGCAGGCGTCACTGGTAACCAGGGTCATTGTTATTATTCTGAGGAATCTTAGTTTTGTCTCCTAAAAGACCTTTCAGCTAGGTGAAAGCAGGAGGTTATATCCCAACCACTTCCTAAGATATTTCAACACTATTTCCCAAAAAGGAATATTCCTCTGTATATTCTCGAAGAGTATGAATTAGGGCTGGGCGATTTGGCCCCCAAAAAAAGTTTAAATGCAGATTTTTGCTCCAAAGTGAACATTGTAGAAAACAGACAGTTATTTGTGGTTTTAAACTACTCTTTATGGTCAGAACATGACAAACATTTCACATTTTTGAATTATTTATCAGTCATTTTTCCTTAAAATAAATATAAATATCAGTGGGTCAATGTTTAGAAAAATAATGTAGGTTACTAGACTTTAAAATATACTTATACATATGCTACTGAGCCTTTTGGAGTCATTTTTGTGAGAAAATTGTACTTCCGCATCTGAAAAATGCCAAACTGGAAGTGACGTAACGGAGCAAGCGCAGTCAATTTAAACAATAGGAAAACAATGGATCGCAATGACAGTTCAGACGCTGAGGTTAGGGCTGGGCGATAAATCGATAACGATAATTATCGTGCAATATAAATTTCCTTGATAAACAATAACAAGAGTTCGATAAATGTTCGATATAATGTTTAAGCGGCAAAGGCGGAACGAAAGAGCGCTAGTCATATGAAGCGCGCTACTCAGAGCTTTTATCCACTCGGATCAAAGTTCTAATTCGCTGCTCACTCGCTGATGAGTCTCGCTCACGCGACACTGAACAGCGCTGTGAGATCCAGTGTGAAGCACTGGAATTCAGCGAGGAACACAAATAACTCTGTTTACAGCCAGATGAAACAGCGCTGACAAACAGCAGAAACACTGTGCGCAACTATATAGTCAGAAGACTTTTTAATCTACAAATCACCATCAATTTACTGTTGTAGCACTAACTACACCATGGTATTTTGTCAGATATGTGGGTATTTACTGCTGGTCATATATTCCCTATATAACCATGTATGTGACAAATAAAAAATCTTGAATCTTGAATCTGTGTCAAATTTTATTATATTATTAATGTAGACATGTATTATTGAAGGAGGAGTAATAGAATATAATTACAGTATTTTTTGTGATTAGTCCAGGTGATGTGAAAATAATGTTCACTTTTCCATAAATGCATGAAACATGGTACACTTGTATAGTTTGCGGCCCTAAACATTTTCAGAAATGGAGCCATCACAAAAACACCTTGTGGTTGCCATGGCGACCATTTTACATTCCGCCATAACCAAATTATGTATTTTGTGTCAAGTCCAGGTGATATGTGAAAATAATGTTCACTTTTTCATAAAAGCATGAAACTTGGTACACTTGTATAGTTTGCGGCCCTAAACATTTTCAGAAATGGAGCCATCACAAAAACACCTTGTGGTTGCCATGGCGACCATTTTACATTCCGCCATAACCAAATTATGTATTTTGTGTCATATCTCCTGAGCCAAACATGATAACACAGAAAAGGCTACCCCTATGTTTTGATGGTCAAGGATTACAATCAGGGTTTGAAATGATCGCCGAAGCGAGGGAGACCTCATATTAGGCACTGTTTTTAAATTACAGCCCACGCGAAACTGCAAAAAGCAAGTACTCCAAAAGTGTGAAGGGGTGCTACCCGGTGCATCCTCCAGCCGCGCGTTAAAGCAGAGTGGGATCAGTCTCCCGCACAGCGCTGCGCTTCCGCCACGATTTAGAAGAGAAAAACAGCGCAAATCGCTCGATCCGTTCAGAAATGACACAGAATTGTGTTATACAGTTGTGTGATATGACAACATTAAAGGCTCTGCCTGAAAACAGCCACGACAAGGTAAAATGCATGTAAGCAAACTGCAATGTAAACAAACTTTAATAGCTTATTTATCTTTAAATGTTTCATTCTAATTAATTTTAAGTAAAATGCT